AATGGCTTGCAGAATTTTTAACACCGCCTGTTTTATCATTACAGAAAACTGAAATAGCAGAAGCTCTTTGGTATAGCGCAATATTAGTTTCTAAAGAAAGCATTAATATTAGTTTGTTACAAGAAAAAAGTGAGATTGATTTTTATGAAAATCTTGACAATTTTCCAGCAACAAATATTAATGAAATTATTTCAAGTCTATCTACTTTATCTATTCAAGAAATTTGGAAAACTACTCGTTATTAAGCATCTCATAAAAATTATATTATTATACTCAACAATGGTAACCATATTTGAACATATATGAGACTTAGTAATCAGGGTCTTTTTTGCTGTCATTTTGCAAAAATTATGACAGTTTCGCAAATTGCGGCTTTTCATATTCTTATGATTTCACGACGTTGGTATTCAGACGAATATTATTCAAAATCAGACAAGTCATTAATATCTTAACCATCAATTATTTATAAAAATGGAAGTGCTACTTCAACTTCAAACTTCATATCAGATTTAACTCTTATATACCCGGATTCTGGTATTGCTTTTAATATATCAAACACACTTAACAATCGTCGTGCATATGGAGTTACTAATGGTCTCTGTAAAAAAGCTATGGCTGTTGGATTGGATGCTGGCTCTGCTGCAATGGAAACACTTAATAAGTTTCTAGAGAATTTTATTCAACAATATTCTGTCGTTAATACTGTTTTAAGTGAAATTCAAGATAATGAATTAAGTGATTTAGATGATCAAAAAAATATCGCACCATTTGATGTATCTTCTATACAAAATCCGATGATTAAAAAAAGAAAAGAAGCACCAAGAATCAAGCGTATTAAAAGTTCTCTTGAAACAAAAAAAATTCAATCAAATACCAAGAAAGACAAAGCCACGCGTTTTTGTTCTCACTGTAAGCAGCCTAATCACTATGCTAAAACTTGTACCATAGATCTTTAACATATATAATGATAAGGTTAGTGATTATTTATTGGCCGGAGCGAAGCGACGGACCTATACTTCTATGTGCTTTGATGACCGAAATTACTATTTGATGCATCTATAATAAAAATATCAATAACGTAGTTTCGGTATTTTCCGTCTGTAACGCCACGTATCTAAATTGG